AAGAAGGAACATCCTGAGTCCATTCGTGATTTCCGGCCTATCAGCCTTTGTAATGTTATTTACAAAGTTGTGACTAAGGTTATTGCTAATAGAGTTAAATCTCTCCTCCCTACTATTATTGCTCCTAATCAATGTGGTTTTATTCCGGGAAGAACTAGCTCGGATAATATCATAATATCTCAGGAAGTTATTCATTCTATGCGTAATATGAAAGGAAAGAAAGGCTTTATGGCGATTAAGATTGATCTTGAAAAAGCCTATGACAGAGTTAATTGGGATTTTCTTATTTCATGCCTGGAGGAGATTAATTTGCCAACTAAGCTGGTTGAGGTTATTCAGCAATGTGTAAGATCTTCTAAGATGCAACTCTTATGGGAGGGAAGTAAAACAGAAGAATTTAAACCAACTAGAGGTCTTCGTCAAGGAGATCCTCTTTCTCCTTATCTTTTTGTTTTATGTATTGAAAAGCTTGCTCATCTGATACAAGAAGAGATTGTTAAAGGTAATTGGAGACCCATTCGGTTAAAAAAAGATGGTCCTCTTCTCTCCCATCTTTTCTTTGCTGATGATCTGGTTATTTTTGCTGAAGCAACTTTGGACCAAGTACAGGTGATTAGACAATGTCTGGATCGTTTCTGTGCAATGTCCGGACAAAAGGTAAGTCACTCTAAAACTAGGGTGTTTTTCTCTAGGAATGTGAATCATAATAGAGCACAACAGCTTAGTGACCTTCTTGAATTTAACCGTACGGCGGATTTGGGTAAATATCTTGGAGTCCCTCTCCATCATAATCGTGTGACCAATAATACTTATCAATTTGTGGTGGATAAAATGAAACAGCGACTATCTAGTTGGAAGGCAACTTCTATTTCCTTTGCAGGACGAACAACCTTAACAAAGTCTGTGTTGAATACTATTCCTCTTTATTGTATGCAAACTGCTCATCTACCTGTGAGTACTTGTGAGGAGATTGATAAATGTTCTCGAGGTTTTCTCTGGGGCTCAACAAGGGAAAGGAGAAAGATTCATCTTGTAGCGTGGGATGAAGTGTGTAAACCAAAAATAAATGGTGGACTAGGTTTACGACATGCACATCTTCAGAATAAAGCCTTTATGATGAAAGCAGGATGGGGCCTTATACATAACAAGGAGGCTTTATGGGCTAGAGTTATTAGAAGTAAATATAAATGTGGAAGGGAGCTAATTCCACAAGTGAATAGGACTCTCCCTGGATCTCAGTTCTGGAGAGGTTTGAGAAACAATTGGGAGAAAGTTGAAGCAAAGTTAGAACTTATAACCAACCAAGCGAATGAGAAAGTTGTTAGATGGAAACCTGAGAAGCATGGTATTTTTACAGTTCGTTCTGCTTATGATTCATTGATAGACAGTTATGATTGCCCTGATCAGATGTGGGCCAAGATTTGGAAGCTTCGAGTGCCTCAGAGGTGTAGATCCTTCTTTTGGCTCATGAGTCATGATCGTATCCTTACTAATAAATCTCGCTTTGACCGTCATTTGGATATTCAACCGTGGTGTAGTTGTTGTCCTGAGGAGTTTGAAGACACTCTACATGTGATGAGACAATGTCCTGAAGCTAAGGAAGTGTGGATGAAATTATTACGCCCTTCTCAAAGACGGGCTTTCTTTACCACAGACTTACGTGAATGGTGCAAGATGAATCTCAAGATTCAGGTAACAGTTAATAATTTCAAGTGGTGTGATTTGTTTGCTGTTCTGTGTTGGGCATTATGGAAACGTAGGAATGAGAGAGTTTTTGAGGGACGAAGATTGACTACAGTAAGTGTCATCGCACAAGCTACTGTTATCCTTAACTGCATGAACGTGGCTAACTGTCGTTTACAAAATACATCTATTGCTGGCATTCGTCCTAATAATCAGGTGGATATGACTATCTTAGCTACTGATGAGCTCTTTGTTTATGTTGATGGGGCTTTTGCGGCTGCTACTAATTCTAAGGGTTGTGGAGGTCTAGTTAAGGATACCAAAGGGAATATCATTGAAGCTTTTATGCTTCGTTTAGAGAAGGGGGATAATCTGACGGTAGAATTATGGGCTTGTTATATGGGTCTAAAGCGTGCTTGGGATATCAGAACCAAGCATGTAAGAATCCATAGTGATTGTCATGAAGCACTGTCTCTATTAAGAGCCAATAATTACGACCTTCATGAAGAACGAGAGCTTATTGCTGAAATTCAACAAATACTTCAAAGAGACTGGCAGGTTGATATGAGATGCATTGGAAGGGAGTTCAACTCAGAAGCTGATTCCTTAGCGAAACGTGCCTTATCTCTCCCCATGGGTCTTTACGTAGTGGCTGGTGACTCTATTCCTTCATTCATGGAGGAGTTTTAGTTTTCATTTGCTGTTTGTTTTGTTTGTTTCTTATTTATCAAAAAAAAAAAGAGAATGTAAGTAGCCGTTTTATTCGCGCCCCACATAAGCAATACGCAGCCTTAACTGAACTGAATATATAATTGATTAATTAATATGTAACACGCGGGGGGTGATTGAAATCATCAAAAGAAAAAGAGATGGTCGTGATCAGAATAGAGTCCTCCCTCGCAAGAATTCAACGCACATGGACATCAACTCCTCAACCATCCCACATTCCCTAATGTCAAGAAGGAATTAATGCTTTCACCTTTCTATATATTTCTTTGGTTTTATTTATAATATGTTTTTATTAAAATAAAATTTTTTAACATTTATTAACTATATCTATAAATTTAATTATTTCTGAACTTCATCTTTATTAAATATATATATATATATATAATAATGTATTTTTCTATGAAATTTAAATGAAAAAATTGTAATGAAAATTTAACAAAATAACTTATAAATAGGATAAATTTTTTTTTTTCCCTCCATCCTAAAAATAAGACTGGAAGGAATGTGTGTCAATATGCCCAACTTAATTACCATAAGGCACGAGGCGTTTTTCTGCCATTATATTTTCAATCAACAAAGATAACTTTTTAGTTAGTGGGGAACATCTTTTAACTGTATCATCAACAGTTAAAAAGAAAAAGAGCATAAAGAGCATCATTGTAGCATGATTAAAACCAAAACTGGGATGGTTCATGGTGCAAGAATGCTGAAAGATGATTCAGGGGTAATCAAGCACGCCAACACTGATAACCCCACTAAACTCGGCCTCAGTGTTTTTCTTCTTCTTCTTTCTTTTTTTAAAGGCAGGTTAATGTGTTTGTTTTGAAGCAGAAGATTCTTTTACTTGCTCCCAATAATGTTGAACTGCAATGTGTATGATATCATGGTCCTAGTCCTGTTTGTTACAAAAATAAAATGGATTAAAAAACTAAAATAACAAAAATTAAATTATTATTTTTTTATAATAAGTATGATAAAACTCATTAATATATGCTTTAAATGTGAGAATTGTAATATTATTAAAAATTATTATACTTTTTAATCTCCTAAATTAAATTACCGCTTTTTTTTATGGATGTGTTCATCTATTTTTTTAATTATTTTATTTTTATTTTTATTTTTATAATCCATTATATTTCATTAATTTACATGTCTAAATGAATCGAACAGGTTTGGTGTCTATGCTTTTGTCTTATCCGCAGAGCTTTGATGAAAACGCCACTAAATCAGGAAAGGGAACTTGAAGGGGCTGCCAACATCGCGAGTTTGTTCGCCGTCAATTTATTGCGAGTTAGAAAACAACTAAAGAAGGTGTATGTTCTGAAAAGATTAAAAAGGATGATTTTGTAGCCGCCATTAAAGCCTCCAATTCTCACTTGCTTTCACACTGTTCCCTTTTAACTTTTTAGCAGCTTCAATGAAAGCGAACATGCGCTGTGCTGTTCATTAAATGAAGCTTTGAAGGTTCGTTACATTATTTCAATTATTTTATCAACAAATAACAAAATGACTTTCTTAATTCCTGGATCCTGGACTCTTGGTGCTAGCAATTGAAATGCTGATTTTAACTTGACCGACGTATAACGGCCCTGCGTGCCATGGAAAAAATATGCTACATAACTGCTTCAACTCATTCCCCGCGTTTTTAATTAATTATTAATATTATTAATCAGGTTTATAGTATGACGTTTTTTTTCTTTAAATTAAAACTGACTTGGGCGAATTATAGGAAGTAGACGTTGTTATCAAATTTCCGCTACTTAAGATATGGCGGAAAGCAGGAGAGAAGACTTCCAGCAACTTGACCTCACCTGATCCCCCACTCTATTGCTTGTTTGGTGTGCTGCAACTGTATTTGATTTGTAAATACATCCCAAATATATCTTCTTTCTTAAATTCTGATACCAATAATAATAAGAATAGATACACAATATATTCCTTCTTTTAACATCGATGTGGGGCCTTCACTGTGGCTCATGGCTGGAGCCATACGACGAACACTCTAACAACAATTTAATGAGAGATGTACAAGCGTTTTGTAAACAATGAATGCTTGGTATTCCTTTTCGCCTCCCTTGGGCTTATTTATAGGCATTGGTTAGCGCCTGCCACTTTGCGTGTCCTTTGAAATTCGATGTCTCTCTTAGCTCATCCACTCACTCACGTCGTTGGTGGTTGTTTGTGTGTGTGTTGTAAAATTGTGGGGTTGTCATTCTTGTCCCTTCTCTCGGCCTTTCTTGGACCGTGTCCACTTTCATACTTAAATAAAGGGTTTTGGGCTCAAATAAAACGTTCCCCATATGGACTTCTCAAACATGAATTTAATATAGGTAATATCTATATATATATATATATATATATAAAATACAGGTAATTTCTAAATGGTGAGATATTGTATATATTTATACACCCTATACGATTTTTTTAAATATACAATACACACTATATGTTTTTTCATGTATATGAACATTGAATTTTGCCCTGAAAGAAGGTGGGAACTAGTGTGTGGCCAACCATGCAATAGATGCTTCTACATGATAGCTTAATGAGATACATATTAATTCTCAAAAGGAAGCAAGTATTCCCCGAAAATTAAAAAAAAAATCTTGATGGAAGGAAACAACCAAAAAAAAAAAAATTAGGGAGGAAAATATGCAGAAGTAATTATTTGACGAATATACTTTAATCTGAGAATATAAATTATGAGGTTGAAATCGTGTCAACCAATAGAGATACTAATAACATTAAGAATTTTAAATTATTTGTGTTTTTTTAAACATTAAATTTCTGCGACGACTGCTCATTTGCCATGTAATGTTCTGATTGTTTCAGTGCTCCTTAATTATTTTCTGAAATATACATTTACAAATTAGTTGTAGGGTGCGATTAAGAGTTCTTAGTCAGCTTTGAAGTGGAGAACCTCAGTGCTACAAATTGGACAAACCTTCTTAATCTGAAGCCACTTGGTTATGCATTCTGAATGATAAGGGTGCTCACATTGAAGTGCCATTAGTGCTTGGCCTTCCTCATATTCAACCTGACATATCACACAACGATCTATTCCAGTCTTGTTTTCAGCAAAATGGCAAGTGTACGGATGCAAGCAGCAAGGGATTTCATTTGCTGACAATCCTCTCCTCTCCTCTCCTATAAATTCCCCCAATTCAATCAGCTCCTCGTAGGATAGTTCATCCGGATCTATCTCATCTTCTTCCATCTCTTCGTCGTTGCTTCCTTCACCCTCAAGAAACTGAAGGTCTCCTAATTCGAATTCTTGGCTCTCAGAAAAGTCAGCATATTCATCATCATCTTCATCTTCAAAAGATGACTCACTTTCATCTTCATTGCCGCTTTCTTCACTGTCCATGGTGGCAAACCTTGTGAAGGTTCCCTCTTGCTCTTGCAAAGCGATTGCCAGGGTGAAATCAGAGTTAACTTGCTCGAGTTCAGTGTATGGGGTTTTGTGGGAAGATTGTTTGCCCTCTTCTGGTTCCATTTGGAAGGAGCAAGAGGCGTTCCGCTACAACTGATGGATATGGGTTGAGCTGAACAGAGACAAAGCGACTTTGGTATTTGAGAGAATGAACGGAGGCATATTTTTGGAGAAACTTTCATGTCAAGTAATGGAAACCTTTTGTCATGGATGCTTGAGATTCCAGATTCTTGGCTATATCAAGGTTTCTCACCTTGAGGTTGCCAACTACGCCCACAAACTTTGAACATTTTTTCTGGACGAGGCAGCTTTCAATTCAAGCAATAACAACGCATCCTCCGTAAGTAGCATTATACCTTTTTACGTAACTAAAGACATCAATTGCCGTTTGTTGCTGCTTCGTTCTTAACCATTGTTTACAGACTACATATTGCTTTTATTTGTTTCTACACGGCAATGCCGTTCGCCAATTTCTTGAGGCAAAGCATACTATTTCTTTCCAGTTTCCACAGTGTATCGCTGTATCACTGTACAGCCTTCATACAAGTGCATCCCGTTGCCAACAAATCTGCGTCTGAGATCATTCTTGGTGATTTCAGGACGAATAAAAATCTTCAGCAACAATTGTTCAGACATCGCTGAACATGTTATTCTTTGCCATTGAGGAAGAAAAACAAATGTCATTTCCTCTTCCCCCTTAATATTATTATACACCTCCCCACGCCCCCCTCCCCAACCCCCCCCCCCCCCAAAAAAAAAAAACTGCAACTTATCCTTATGAAACACGGTAACCACTCTATAGAAACTCTTCAGCTAATTTCTATATCAAATTCCATTAGCCTCGTTTAAATATTTTTTAGGTAAAATTCACTAAACACAACTACAAGCATGTAGTAAAAATTTGTTCCCCAGCAGGTAACCCAACTGCTCTGTTAGTTGCCACATGGAAAAGCAAATGGTGATTAGTTCGGGTATCATGATCAAAATAAAGTACAATTATATTATAGGGCAAGAGAAAAACCAATGTTGTATCGTTATCGCGCTTTGCAAGCCAGTATTGACTAGCAAACAAAGTCGAACAGAGTAATTAATTTAATTCACAACATGCAGGACCAAATTAAGCGATCTCGAACATTCTTTTAACTGCGACTGTAACAAAGTACTCAATGACACCAGGGGCCAGCAAATGATATCTCCCATCCAGCTCCTGAACTCAGCAGTCGAAAGAGGATAGGAAATGAGCGAGGGGCTTAAAGGTCAATCCATTCTTCCCTTCAAGATCCTTTCCTTTACTTCAGTTGGCGTGCTGCAGGTGTGAATCAAAAAGAGCAATCATATGATACACCATGAATGGGCATAGAAACACCAAACTTGAATAGAAAATAAATATGAGGATACAGAAGCCCCAGTTTCAAGGGAGAAAGATAAAAAATATGTAAACCAGGTGAAAGAATAACAACGAAAATATAAAACTTGAGCATAAACACCCCCCTCAAAATAAAATAAGATAAAATGGAGGCTAAATTACAATAAGTAACTCATAAGTGCTTTGACTTCCTTCTCTACCTGTATAGTGACTAGCGGTAAATTCATTAAAGCTCATTTCTTGGCAACTTTATCACAAGCTAATCTTTAATTATAATTCTTCCAAAAATAAGTTTTCTTTATTTACCCTTGGCAATTTCCATCACTGGTTTCAAGGGTCTATTATCCACTAAGGTGGATTCATACAGCAAAGAGGCCCTAACTTCCACCCTGATATGCATTACAGAACGCAGATAATCATAACACAAGGTGGAAGCCGCTGTGGCAGCTTATGCCCCTAAAATATGTAAAGCAGCGTACCATCCAACAAGCTGTTTGTGCGTAAAAGCAAAAGGGTGAGTACTTTCATAACATAGATACATGGGCAGCTACTAAGGGGCAAAAAAGAATCATAAGCTTACACAACATAGACATGTCCGCCCCAGCCACTTAAACAGTCACGATCAACAGAAGAAAGCAGTGCTTGGGAGATGGTCTCAAATAATTCCTCTGGTTCCTGAGGCACCCAAGAAAACATGGGAAAAACAATGAGCCATATCCTATGTTAGGAACTGTCCACATTAAAATTTGGTAGTTGTTGCTAATATTGTTTTGAAGAAGCTTATTGGATGTTCATTTTGTAGCAAGTGATGACAAGTGTAGACGGTAAACATCACACTGCACCAAGTTTTTTTAAAAAAGATTGTCATAAGAAATTAAATCGAACTTAGTAACCAACCATGTCAGGCTTAAACATCGACTCACAAGCACCATATAGAGACTCAGATGCAGTGCCTGCAACAACAAAATCTTTTGCAAGTTCCCTGCATACAAGAAAAACACAAAGATGATATTATCACAAACACATGGCTCATGAGAAAGTGTATGACTTTCATATCATTGAAAAATAGCCAAAATCCTAAGGCGTTTTATGGTTCAAACACCTTTTGCCATTAGTCACCTTTAACATAGTAAAATTCTTAGTCAAGAAATACAAACTTAAGATCATAAGAAGAGATAACTTGCAATTATAAGTTTTAATTAATTAAAATTTCCTTTGAAAATCAGTGGAGAATATAAGAAAGAGTCAACTCACTTTGCTCCAATTGAATCCATTGTGCAAATGAAAGGTCTGTCATCATCTCCTAATCCAGCAATTACAGGCTGGCAGAAGTATGGACCAAACCTATAAAGAAAAAGATGCATTAACATTCACATTCCAAATTACATAAATTTGCAAAATCATACAACCTTATAACTGATTCGGATGATAGCAGAAGCACATGGAAATAAGTTACACATAACTCACCAGCAAAATATTATCAATCATCAACACCTATTCCTCAACTTCATTGATATAATATAACATAAATTTCCAAATAAAATGAACTTTGTGTTTGAATTTTTTTTTTCTAGTCAATTGACTATTCTAAACCTGCTATTTTAACTTTGGGAAGAATTTCATTCTGATTTTGTACTTCATTTTCTTAAGCAGCCTCCGTGGATTATGGAGAAAAGAGAGCAAAGTTAGGATGGATGGGCAGGGAAAAAATTTAAACTATCCCATTTTAGGCTGCTAGAGATAGAGATTGTTAGGCCTCTGCCTCTCAATTGAAAAAATATATTCGCACAATTTAACTTTACATAAGGGAATAACTTATCAGAACCATTTGAACACTCCAGCCAGTGGCTTCAGTCTTCAGATAGTGTTTTTTCCCAGGAGTTCAGGTATAGCACAAACAGAACTCAGAGGCCTCCAGATTAGATGTAAATCCTCACCTTGCATTTTGTTGCCTTACTACAATGATTCTCAATCATGTCTTTATTTCTGTTTCTTCTATTATTAGCATATCTCACCAACTTATGCATGGGTGATCACAAGGTACGGTTTCCTTGTCATTTTTGTCCTCGACATGGGTTTGGGGATCCAGAATATCAGAACCTTGTAATCTGTATCCGATTGATTTCAATTTCAATCCGGATAATTTTGGTTGACTTCAAGTTGAAATGATACTAGTCAAATGTACCGAGCCCCCTTCCCTTAACCCATTTTCTAGCAGGACAGATATCATGAACAGGAGTACAGTACTTGCACTTTTATCAATTACATCTAGCCAATTGGTTCAGTTAACCTTGCCCCTCCGGTTTTAAGTTTACAATGTCATATTCAAGAAAGATATGGGACAACATGGCATACGCATAGAAAACCAATGATATTGCAGCAAACCAATGTTCTTCGATTTTGGGCCTATAGATGGGGTCCTCGTATTTTCGTTTTACAAAAAACGAATAAGAAATTGCCGTGTTCTAGTTCCAAAGGAAAGCCTTTCCAAAAGAAATGGTCGTGTCATCTTAACAGAATTTCAGTATGAACTTCCTAATTTGTAATTGCGAATCATTGTGAGCTCACAAGTTCACACAGAGCGTACACAGCAGTAATTAGGTAAGGTCAGGAGAAAAATTCTGATCCGATAAAATTCTGATATGATAAAATCTGCATACCTTTTCTCGTATAAAATAGCAGAGACTAAGCTGGCAAATGTCTCAGGCTTCATGTCCCTCTCTTCTCGAAGCTGATATAACTTGTGCCGGAACACGAGCCGTTGATAGCTTCAAGTAGAAGGGAGCAGCAGTAAGAAATTAAGAAAAGAAGCTGAAACTAGAGCAAGTGGGGAGATTGAGAGGGAGTGGTAGTATTCCTACAGTGTCTGGGCATCAGTAGCGAGGCCAGAAAGACCAATGAAAAGCTTGTCGTGAATCTTGTATATCCTCTGAAAATCGGTGGCGATAGTCTGAAGCTGAACACCGAGCCTCCGATCACTTGCGATGGCGAAACAGTTCTTACCCACCATGGCCACTAGGGCACTACCATTGTACTCGAAGATCGACATCTTCCCGAGAATCACTTCTGATTTTCTGGTTTGCTTTTGACGGGAAATTGAGGGAGATTAGTTGTTTATTGAATTTGCAGCGAACGCATCGAAGGCTGGCTTGGATACCACTCCAACACCCTCGCGATCTGGGCATGGTGGAAACACAAAATGGGCCTGTTCCGTCACTTTTGGGCCGCACGAGCCTCTGACTTGGACTTCGGTCATTAATTTGGACCTACATCTGTAAAATCACATTATGCGTGTGTACTCGTATTGTATAGTCCATAGCCCATTAGGGTTCACAACATAGCAAAAAAAAAACCTGGAAGATTGTATGGGCCTCGTGTCATAATGTAAAAGTTCGCAAAGCTGCTCCAACCTCTAAAAAAAAAAAAAGACTCTTACCTGAAAATTGCGAGGACTTATGCTATGATAATGCATTGACTTCGGTAAAGCAGGTATATTTCTTTGTTCATTTTACTGAGCATGAAATGGTATTAATAAATAGAAAGAGTTAATATTCTAAGTAAAATTAAAATATGTATTCGGTATCTAACTACGATTTCTATGAATATACAGATGCAAAGCGGGCTTTGGTATCGAAGAATGTGGAATTAGAATATTTTTGTTGAGAACGGTGGATCATGTTGCAGGGAGAGTTCCGAATAAATTAATAGCGCTGTTTGAGATGTGATCCATATGAATATAAAATGGTGCATTAACTGCGATGTTTGACACAAGCAAACCAATAAATTGTCACTTGCTCAAGTGATTAGCCAATGCTGCGCATGAATCATTTGCATAAGGGAGAAAATTGACATGTACGAACAAGAGAGACGCCTGTTTAATACAGAAGGCGTCGTATTGATGAAGAATTGAAAATACAGGAACAGGATGGCCGCACCGAGTGTTAATTGACTCCCAAAAACTAGCATTAATTGACGTTGACACTGAACTTCATCTAACTTATTAAGAATTCTTCTAGCTTTTGTTGGAAGAATGGATTAGTTACAGCTATTAGTGTTAATCACATTTTAAAAAGTTGGTTGTCTTAAGTTCTATATAAAGGATGATGTCACAATTTGTTAGAATTTACAGTGGTTAATATCCTGTCTCAGGAGAGATGTTAATATATGTTAGACCCTCACGGCCTCACCTCATTAATTATTTTGCCACAAAATATATAGTTTAATTTGGGGTTGGCTTATAATCCTTCATGCGAAGGATTTCTTCTTCTTTGGCTTAATAGAGGCATGCTTTTGCACCCTGTACGTTATGATAACTA